AATGAGGCGAGGCAAGGGCGTAAGTACGATCGAATTGCGAGGCGGCTATCGAGCGAACGAACGAACGAATGATAAGAGCGACTCGATCCGTAGCGGCACGGACCCCGCTGAGTCACGTGGTCCTACCCCCACTACGGACGATATCGATCCGAGAACGATTCAAAATCCTGGTGGCTTTGCTCTTAGGTTAGCCTGTACGTCTCGGAAAATTACCGAAGTAATTTCCGTCCGTCGACCCTCACAACAGGAGATGCAAAGCATCATCCCTCACGGGGCTTCATGGAGGCCTCAGAGGAACGTCATAAACGCCCCCCCTAGCCACGGCTTGTCGACCACAGGGACGCATAAAGCGCCCTCGCGCCGCAAAGAGATCGCCTACCAGTCCATAACATAACAATAAATTATAAACAATTAATAATTAACAATTTTGATGCCTCACATTTCCACTCGTTACCCCCTTGCGTTCTTTACAAACGTTCTCATAACTCAAATTATTACATATATAACACCAAATTGCGACAAAGTAAAAAATGCCGATAATTATAAACTAAAATGAAATATTTCGCGTTCCTGTCATCAACAGTTAGATATACTACGCATGTAAGTAAGAGTATGTATGTATTTACATATACGTACTTCGCGCATGCGCAGTGAGAATATTCGACAAATCAGTTTAAACAAAATGTTATTTTCACGGCACATTAGTATGACACCGGTGCACCTTCTACAAGCTAGCAAAACATTGAAGCCAATTTGAACTGCGGTATAAGCTTGTTTTGTATGCAAACACGTGGAAAATAATTCTACTTCGGTACGTTATATTTCGAAGCGCAAATGATCAAAATTTAACGTGCAGCGAAAAGGAAAGAATAGTAGTCTTGACAAGAGACAACTTGTAATTCATCACAGAGAGAAACGTAAAACTTTTAAAAAAATAGCACAGTTATTAGTAACGAACAAGAGTACAATAGCAGACATCGCTGAAAGTTATAAGGAAGATGTATCATGCGCATGCGCTAAATATACTTCGCGCATGCGCAGTGAGAATATATGCAGTTCGCTTTATTCAAGAAAATATTCTATTATTTCTTGGCAATAAATACTTTAACTGGAGCAATATTTGAAATTTAATCAATTAGAACGGTATTTGCGTCAATTCTCTAGAATTCGAGTATTCTAGAGCATTTAAAACAGTTATTTTAAAAAGCATAGTAATTCCAGTATGTAAGTGTTTTATATTAGGTTAGATATTCTACCAATGTAAAGAAGATGTATGTACCATGCGTATGCTCTATCGTGCTACGCGCATGCGCAGTAGGGTATGTGCACTTCGTCTAATTCAGAAAAACATTCTATTATCTTTTCTCAGTAAATACTTTAACTCGAGCTTGACGTTTGAAATTTACAAAGTTAAAACAGTACTTGTATTAATTCTCTAGTATTCACGCAACTTAAAACAATTATTTTAATAAATATGGTGCTTTCAGTATGTGAAATAAATGTTTCTCTTCAAAAACTGTCTACTCAAAATAAGTGCTAAAGCTGTGCGTTGAATAATGAGAAGTAATGAATACATTGGTTGAATGGCAAGGAGAATGGATTTCTATATTTTTGATCTACAATAAATAATTTATTTATTATTAAAATTAATTATTTATTGTTTGTTTTACAATAAATAAATTATTATATTTTTATAAAATAACGAGTGTGATATTATCAGTGTAAATTATCTCTCAGTGTGTAAAATAGCAAATACAGAAGTACTACATTGTTCGAATATTAATGCCTGTAACTATATTTGTTTGGTTTCAATAACGACGAGTGGCTGCTTAACCTGACCCGAGAACCACCACTCTAGTTCTTTCACCCTCACTTTTCCTTTTCGTTTCCATGAACCGGAAGGAAATTGACCCGCTGAATATATCACGAAACATTTTATCAGGCTGCGCTTTCCGGTGTATTTCCGGTGTAACATACAAATGCTTCGGGCCATGCTTTCATCCTGGGAACTAAATTTGTCCGCTGTTCGCTTCGAGTAAAAAGTAGAACGCTGAAGAAAGGGAAGCAAAGTTTGTAATATTTATTGGCAGTAAAGCTCTCCGTGGAAATAGCTATAAAGTACCATAGACGCAATAATTCAACCGCCTTGTAATTAGGGGAACAGTTCTGAATGTAATTATAAACTAACTTTTAGCTGAGCTATTTTTATTGCGGTACTTGCATGTAGGGTAAGCTGCGTATGTTAGGTTTGTGATTATCAATGTAATAATCGGTTAGTTTTCTTATAATCATACTGTTGGCGTTATTAGCATTTTTTCTGTAGTGGGACATTTAGATTTACTGATAGTAATTACTTTTGTGTGTCAAGAGAAACTTTGAAAAACTTTGAAAACTGAGGAATTGAGAAATTTGAAAATTCGGAAATTTGGATATTAGAGATTTGGAAATTTTAGGACTCTCAAATTTAGTCAATTGGAAATATGAGAATATGGATATTAAAAAATATTGGATTTTGTGAATTTAAGAAATTAGGAATAGTATTTGGCAGTATGGAAATTTGGCAATTTAAGAATATAGGGACTTCTGGATTTAGGTATTTAGGTGCTTAGGTATTTAGGTATTTAGGTATTTAGTATTTAGGTATTTGGGTATTTAGGTATTTGGGTATTTGGGTATTTGGGTATTTGGGTATTTGGGTATTTAGGTATTTGGGTAT